TATGGCTTGCCAATTTTCTAGGTACAAATGTAAAAGCATATAGTATGAATAATGTAATGATACAATACATTCATACCAACATTAAACAACAGAGAACTCCAAAAACAATAACACAACTCAAAGTGAAGAAAGGAAAAACGAAATGTTTAAATAAAATAATTACCAAAAAAATACTGAAAATGTGTTTAAATTTTAAACTTTAAAATAAATAAATCAAAAGAACAAGCCATGGACAACTCGACGAGATGAGCGAAAAAACAAAACAACAGGTGATGAGCAATTTGTACTCAGTATTTATATAAATAAATAAGTACCAAAAGAAACCTTATCTTTTTACGTAAAAATAAAAATAAATCAATAAATACTGGGAAATAAGGAGTATTAATAAACGAGTAACAAAGTACGGTCTTGGAAGACTTCTCTGTTTTGGCGATGAGCACCTAGAGTTTGGACGACATGCTTGAATGATGGATGACGGAAGTGGACCGCAAGAGGATGGATCGAGACTCGAAACGAAGACAAGGTTATAAGCGTACGTCAAATTCTGCAAACAGTATCACGCAGAAACCTAGGCATCCCTTTTAGCATCTCCAGAAAAACCACTCAGCCACCTAGGATATGACTAGGCGACGCCTAGGCGATGCCATGACAACGATGCCTAATAGAATCACCAAAGCATCTAAATTCATATCGCGCTATATTAGAAACATATATTAGCATCTTTGAAGGTGATCCTTTGAAAGATGCTGATAAAGAGACATGTAGGCAAAGCGTGAAATGAATATTTGACTGCCCTGACACCAGAGTTCAATATATAAGACCACTAAAAACCTGATATACTACTTGATAATAACCAAAGTAACACAAGATGATATTGTTTCACCAATGCATCAAACTTCATGTCGCAATATATTACTCCGAGTAGAACCCATAAATCAACATCCTTAAAAGGTGACTCCATAAAAGATGCTGATAGAGAGGCATGCAGCCAGTGTGAAATCAATCTTTGATTTTCCAGTTTCCAAAATATGTCATGTAACAATATAAAATACAGTGCTTTCTTTGATTATAATCTGAAAATGAAAAAGGAAAGAATATAGAATTGCCTTGTCTTCTAGCTATTTGTCTGTAGATCAAGAACAGAAGTATTGTTCCCTGTTGGAAGCTAAATTCAAAAATATCCCTTGACTAATTCTCTCAAGCAAGGTAGTAGATGGAGAATTGCATTAATGAATATTGAAGACACTTTACTTATTTAGTTATTTATCTATTTTAGTTTTCTAAATACGGATATGATAAGCCTAGCCAGCATTAACTAGTTCTGTTTTGCATAGTAGATTAAGATAGGAGTTGCGTTCACTAATTGATTGATATTTCATGTTTTAACCCCCACATGTGCATGAACATGGACATAAAGTGAATCAATATGAATACCTCTTCTTGACTACAGTGAGTGTTTTTTATTTATTTTAGCAAGTTAATTGCTAGCCAATTCCTAATTTCATCTCCTTTTAGTTTTGCAACTTTGAGCATGTATTAGGAGCCTAAATTTATGCCTCAATTGTAATTGTTGAAAAGTGACATAGATAAAAGGCCTTAAGGTGATTTAAGTGCCATCTCTCATACATCAACTTAGGCCTTGTTTGGGAACAATGTTTTGGTTAGCATATTGGATAATTTCTTAATGGTACAAAACAACTTTGCAAACGCTAAAGCTAAACACGGTCATTAAATAGCCTTTTCAAAACACTAAAGCTAAAGGTTGAAGCTATCGCCAAATGGGGCCTTAGAAATGTCCTCTTTCAATCCAAATATTTGAAATTCCTATTTATATAATCCTTGGAATCATCTTCATTGATTAATTCCTATACAAAAAGCCTTAAGGTGATCATTGAACAGTACAATTGATAAAAAGCCTTGAGGTGATTTAGCTGCCATATCACTCATACATCAACTTGCACTTATCCTTTTTCAATACAAGTTTTTGAATCACCTATTTACTCCCTTTTTGAATTATTGGTCTCACCTTCCTTTTCAAAAAATTGTCTCACTTCTTTACATTCCTAATAAAGTAAAGAATACGTGGTCCATTCACAATTTTTCTCTTTCTTCTAAACAAATGTTAACCATTCACTTTTAACTTTTGAACACTTTACTTAAACTTCGTGAAGTGAAACTAAGACAATAAATTTGGGATAGGGAGAGTATATAATCCTTCGAATCATCTTCATGAATATACTTAATTAAGTCTTAGACATATATATACTCCCTCCATCCTATATCTTCTCGTTTTTCATTTTGGGTCATCCTATAACTTTCTTCTTGTTTCCATAAATGGAAAAGAAGTATACATTAAATGACAACATTACCCTTCAAAATATTAACCTTCAAAATCTTATCTACTTGGCACCTTCAAACATCATCTCCTCACCAATTTTGCAATCCTCGATTTCAATCTCCTTAACCTCAAACTTCATATAGTTATCCTAAAAATTTCCTCAAGATAACAAAGATGATTTGGCCGCAGACCACACAACACCATGTTGTGGGTGGATGAAGGGGACAGGGGGATGTAAGAAGTCTTGTGTCGCAGAGCGGATCTTGAAAAATATCATAGATTAAAGGCTGCCCAGGTAGAGCCTCTCGCAAGCTTGAGGGGAAATTACTACCACTGGATCTGGAAGACCTCCATGACTTCGAATCCTTGTACTCCGAATCTTGTCTCCATCAACGTATTGAGGGGAACCTAGGCCATCAACTCCAACCCTTGTTCTTGTTAAGGGCAATTTTGGAAAATGTTCTTGTTTAGGGCAATTTCGTAAAGTCAGAGCATTTTTCATCTTACATGTGAAAGTGTTCCATGTCAAAACTAGAAAAAAAAGGGGAATATAGAGCAACACTTAGTTATATTGCATGATCTCTGATCCACTCTTAAATTAAATGAATTTATTGGACATAGAAAAAATTGCACTTGTGCATATTATTACCCTCCAAAGAACCCAATCCTGACCAGTATATGTAAGGAAAATCATTAATTTTAAAATCTTTCTCCCAACTAAACATATAGCCCTTTTTGCGTTAGACACAAACACCTAAATGAGTTCTTCTGTTTTTTAAAGTTAAATTTATTTTCCCAAACTGAACGGTAGCAATACAGCCATTCCCCAACCTTGCAATATCAGCCGTTTTTACTTGAGCATAGAAGGCTAAAACATGTGTATGCATTCACAATGTACACTATTTCTGCTTTGTAATTGTTCAACACCCATAGAAAGATTTTAAAATTTTGTAAAGTTATGTAACAGTCCTACTAAGGCACTAAATTATTTATAGCACGTGAACTTTAAGCATTACAAATGTAAAAAAAAAACTCAAATGATTGAACGCCATATCCTTAAATACCCATATACCATAACCAAACAGTTTGAGTGTACTAATCTTAGAATCACTCATTTGGGGAATACGGAGTATTGAACTGAAAAGATATTAAGAACTTTGATTACAGCACTAAACTAGTAAAACTAAACTCAAATGAGTGAACTTTTTGACCCGATAATTAACAAAATTGACAAGTAATTCAAATATGAAATACCCATATGGCCATATCATTTAATACTGTAACCAAACAGATTGAGTGTAATAACCTTACAACAACTCATACAGGGAAGAAAGATATAGCATTAAACTGAATAATAAAAATAACTTTGATTACACAAAATGAAGTTTTTTTGTAATTAGCGCAATCCACAAGAAAGAGAAATATTATATACCCACATATTATTAAATACCATTACCAAATAGTTTGAGTGTACTAACCTTAGAATCACACATTTAGGGAAGTTAGATGGAGTATTGAACTGAGAAAGATAGAACTTTGATTACAATGATCAACTAAGGAAGACGGGTGCATATAAAACTCGTTGATGACTAAAAATTGTATCTGAAAAGGAGGCCTTGTTGAGCAGCCAGTGCGATCAATAAAAAACATGAACTGAAACGTGCAAAGAGTTCAACAATCTGATAATCAATCGTCTGCTGCAGAACCAAACCCTGAAATTCAATGTTCGGTGTTGAATTTTGCAGTTTTAATATTACACACATGCAAGTCTAGATGAATTTATAATACAGATGGTTTCGAGAAAGGTTTGTATATGATTATTTCCAGTAATGTTAATCTATTTGAAATAATATAGAGTGCATGAAAATTTAGGTCAATTTCCATCATCTCCGATGGAGCCAAAGATTCATTATTTTTTGGCTGTGAGGTATGATGGAAATAATGGAATAAAGCAAATGGCTCTATATATTGTCTGCGCTTCTTTCAATAGTGAAGTAGCAGTTAGACAATGAACTTTCGACGCGCATCATGGGTCATCTGGAAACAGCCGCACTATGTTTTAAACATAGGAGTCATTCAAACATAGAGGTCAGGTTGCGTACATACATCCAACCCCCCTTACCCCGCAATGGGCTTGGGGTAATGTTGTTGTTGTTGCATGAAAATTAAGGTCACACATACTTCCTTCGTACCGCAATGGATGTCAATGTCTACTATTCACAAGTCAAACTTTATATTATTTCTTCATCTATTTTTGTTAATCATTTTATAAAATAATACAATCGTGTCACCTACTGTTTTATAAATCTTTTGATGTAGTTTTAAAATATTTAAATTTTATTTTTAAATTTTAAACCAATATTAAAATAAATTGAATTAAAATTAATTTCAATCAAACTCTGTGCAAAACGAGCAATTATGGCACAGAGGTAGTACCTTTTATTTCTTTGAGTTATGTTTCAAAAAAAAGGATGCAATTGTACATCATGATTATGTACATCATGATTTCCATTTTCCAAGCACTTAAGAAATTTCCAAGCGCTTAAGAAATTTCCATTTTTTATTTTCATTTGTTATTAACACAGCCAAAGATTCACATTTTCCAAGGGCTTAAGAAATTTCCATTTTTTATTTTCTTTTTCTTGATATTTTCTGTGTATGCCTTACATAAAGTGTATACTCCCTCAGCACGAGTAACAGCCACACCCGCTAGCTCTGTCCAGCGAACTGTCTGGCTACTAATTCAATGACGCCCACTGCCCCCACAAAATCGGGTAAAACACTAGAGTTTCTAACCAGGATCAGATAATGGTGTCAAACACATGGTGTCAAACTTTCGGTGAAAAAGTTAGTGTGAATGTAGCATGGCACCACAAAAACGGGACGGAGTGACTACAGACTTATAAATACCCAACATGTATGGTAAATTGGTAGATTCTAACCTTGTTTGGAAACAGCGTTTTCGATTAGCGTTAGCACTAAAGATAAAATTTTAATGGTGTAGAAACGCTAAAGGCTACTGTCATATAGCTTTTTCAAAACGCTAAAACTAATCTCTAATGCTAATGCCAAAGAGGGCCACGATGGACATTATTACATAAACAATAAACCCACAAGAGCAATAAGTGATTCTATAAATATGTATCTATTTTTATCTATTAATTTGATTATGTGAGAAGGATAGAAGCACTGAACATATACTCAAGTAAACATAGACGAGCAAAATTCGCCCAAAAGGTACAAACCTCGAATGATGAAACCCTAGCCGAGGTTGTGGGAAGAGGATTAACCCGGTCGGGAAGCATTCAACGTCCGTCTTCAGTTCACCTTCTGCCTTCCTACTTTCGTCTGTTCTTTTCCTTATGATGTCTGGGTTTCAGGAACAGAACCTAGGGTTTTAAGAGAGATGGATTGTGCCAAAGAAACAGAAAAACAAAAGATCAGATTATTACTCCGTATGATACTCCATTATGAATAAATTTCTTCATTTTTATCCTCCATCCTTTTAAATTGATTTCAAGTTTGCTAAAAAAAATTGATTTCAAGTTTTTTTTTGGCCACTTGAATTGATTTTAAATTTTTAATAATACTAGTCCTCTAGTTAAAAAAATATTCTCAATTAAGATCATGTTCTTTAGGATTAGAAAAAAAAAGCTGTTGGAAAAAACTGGAAAAAACTAAAAAGAACTAAAAGAAACTGGAAAAACTGGAAGAAACTAAAAAACGGAAAAAACTGGAAGAAACTGAAAAAAACTGTAATGAACTTAAAGAAACAAAAAAACTTCAAAAAATTGAAAACCCTAAAAAAAACTTTAAAAAAATTATTTTAAATTTTTGTTGTTATAAATTGTTGTTGTTGTTATGTTGTTGTTGTTATTATTATCGTCGTCATCGTCATCATTATCATCATCACATTATCTTAATCAATTTCTTTAAGATACATAAAAATTATTGTTATTTTTCAAATACAAAAACTACTTTTACAAAAAAATTATTAAATAAAGCTAGTATAAATATAAAAATATTAAATTTTAAAAAAATTTTATGGTTACGTTGCACCTCAATTTATTTATGCAGTATTTATTATAAATAATATATTTGTAATTATATTTTATATATTGCAAAATTTTGTTTTAAATATCAGACATGTCACATAATATAATCAAACCTATTTTTTTCATTATTGACATTTTATTTTCATTGAAGCTCTATTTTTAGAATAAAGACATGACTTTTTTTTATTTTTTTTTATGTTTTGCCCCCCTATTTTAGTCTTTTTCAATGTCACTATTTTATCCATAATTTTTTTAATACAGTTTAAGATATTGATGTTTTTCTTTTTTATCATGTATATTATTATACAAAAAATTGTCTTATTCATATTAAAAAGTTAAAGAAAAAATAATTTGTGGCAATCGTAAAAATAGTGAGATAAAAAAATAATTTATAAATTATAGTTATGAACATAGCAGTTGCAATGATAATAATAATAATAATAATCACATTAAAAATATACTCCCTCCGTCCCAAATTATAATGTATGTTTACTATTCACATGGTTAAACTTCATTTACTTTCTTTCTCTATTTTCGTTAGCAATTTGATAAAATAAAATATTATTGTCACTATTAGTTTTGTAGATCTTTTGATGTAGTTTTTTAATATGTAATTTTTATTTTTTAATTCTATACCATTTGTCATATAAAATGGTTTGAAAATAATTTCAGTCAAACATCGTAAACCGAAACAGGCGTTATAACATGGGACGGAGGTATCATTTTTAATTTAGAGTAAATGGTTGGAGAGTGGAAAGAGTTGGAAGAAAATGAGAATAGTTGGAGGAAATTGGTAGAAAATGGAAAAACTCGAACAACCTAGAAGAAACTAGAAGAAACGGGAAAGAATGGGAAAAAACTAAAAGTTAAGAGTTCAAGACTTAAAGATTAGGCTCTGAGTAAACGTTTTTTGTGTGTTTATAAGCGGGTCAAAATTACATGTAAATAATTTTTTACTTGTAAATTGGCTCATGACATATTTCTATGTGCTTATTAGTTGATTTATAAGTCAAAAAAACTAAAAATATCTTACCTACTTATTTTTAAATCAGATTTTTTCATTTCTCCGCCTGATCAAATTATTTACAAAATTATCTTTTACCATTTATGAATATCTCAAATTATTTATCTATCATTTAAGTCATTTTTCTTACGTTAAATATTATTTGACATATAATAGCTTATAAGTTTAAAACTCTTTATCAACAATAAGCTACTAAATTCAAGCATAGAGAAACACCATCTAAGTTTGGCACAATCTTTATAAAAGATCCATTTGATACACGAAATTCATAGAATTGGAATTGAATTTAAAATTGAAATTATATTCAATTTAATTGGATGGAATTGAGTTCTCCAATTCCAATTCATTTTAGGCACTATTTATCCCAAACTCACATATATCTGTACTATTAGACAACAGAATTATAATTTTTGTCTTCAACTCCAATTCAATATTTTGAATTCCGTATATTAAACGGAGTCTAAGAGAAATAAAATTTAAAATGTAAATAAATATGTAATATTATGTAATTTAATATGTGTTTCAATGATAAAAATATCTATCTAGTAACAAAAATAGTAATAAAAAAAGTCTGAAAACAAAAAGGTTCAAAAACATAATTTAATATTTCATGTAAAATTTAATGTTGACATTAGAAGTGAAAGGTTATCAAGTTAAACATTTTGTAAAAAAAATATATGGCCTGTTTGGGAATAGCGTTAGAAATTAGTGTTAGCGTTTTCAAAAAGCTATCTACGGGCAGCGTTTAGCGTTTTCAAATTAATCTTCACCGTTAAAATTTTATCCAAAACGCTAACGCTAATCGCTAAAGCTATTCTCAAACAGGCCCATACTCACTTCTTCCACAAATAAACTTCCAATTTTCCTTTTTCATCCGTCCACAATTTATCTTCCCATTTCCTTTTTTGTAACTTTTTTATACTCCCTCCGTCTCTAAATATTTGTCACACTTGTATTCCTGAGACAAAATATTAAATTTTTTCAATTCATTTTATTTACATATTGGTATAGAAATAAAAAATTAAATTTACATATCAAAAAACTGCATGAAAAGTTCTTCGAAATAAGAGGTGTCAAGAATATTTTATTTTATCAAATAACTAATGAAAACATAGAAATAAACAAAAGTTCCCGCAACGCTGAAAAAGCAAACGTTACAAATATTTCGGGACGGAGGGAGTATTAAAAAGACNCCCCCCCCCCCCCACCTTCCGCATCCCCTTCTTGTTTCTTTTCTTCTTCAATTCTTTCTTTCTCTCTTCCTCGTTCTTTTCACATCTCCCTATCCCATTTTGTCCAGCCCGCCTTCATCGTCTATCATCTTCTTTCTTATATTTTTATTTTTCTTCTTCTTTCTTCTTCTTTCTTTGCTTCCTCCTTACCCTTTTGATTTTGTCCTGCCAACCGTCGATTGGGAGTGTGGCGACAGTCGGAGGTAATGGCGGAGCAGCAAGGCGGTCAAAATTTTAGATCTGCTCTTCAGCCGGCGTCAAACTTTTAGATCTGCCCTTCCGCCACCGTCAAAATTTTAGACCTGTTTTTCCGCCGCCGTCAAAATTTTAGATCTGTTATTTCGCTGCCATTAAAATCTTGAACCTGCTCTTTCGGGTGGGGATTGTGGAGGGGATGAGGGAAACAAGAGAAAGAGATATAATTCACGATGGTGTCGGAGAGTCGGTGGTGCCGGTGCTGGAGAATCATTGTCTCCGGTGTCGGAGAGTCGTTAGGGATGATGTTGGCAGGGACATCATAGATGGCTCACGGTGGGGGATGATGTTGGCAGGGACAGAGGATGGGGTCATGGTGGTGGAGAAGCCTAAAGGGGTTGGGGCATAATATGAAAGTCAACACAATTTTTATCATACATTAATGTGTACCCGTCAAACAGAGAAGTTTATTTGTGGACGGAGGGAGTAATACAAATAATGAAGAAATCACTTATAACTTGAGTAAAATATATCCCTTATCCTTAAAATAGGACTTTTATTTATTATTTTCAAAATAGAAATTTACACCGTGGCAATGTGATACTTTCTCCGTTCATCTAAGATCTTCCCATTGCGCGTTATGATGTTTGACCGATTTTATTTTCAATTCAATTTATTTGAATATAAGGGTAAAATTTTAATATAAAATCTATGTAGTAATAAACTACATGAAAAGTTCTATAAAACTAGATGTGACAACAATATATTATTTTATGAAATAAGTAGTAAAAATAAACAAATAAAGTAAATTAAGTTTGACTCTATGAATAGTGTCTGGGAAGATCTATGATGGGAGTATTATGTATTGACATTTTACAATATTCTTTGGTACTCCGTATTATACATTGACATTAAAAGCACATTAGCTTCTAATTTAGATATGAAATTTTAAGGTCATATTTAATTTTTCTCTATTTCATTTTTAGTTTGGTTTTTTCTAATTTAATAATAATTTCATGTTGAACTCAATGCGCATGAATGGCATGACAAAGCATGGGTGATATTTTAGAGTTGTTATGCTCTTGTTTAAAGCGTTCACATGTAAATATGGAGATAATAACACATTGTAATAGAGTTAATAGTGTAAAAAAACTTACATCCATTAAATATTCCTATAGGATAAGACTAAAAGGTTTCGCATAGCTACACCACTGCACTTTCAACTTAGTTATCAGACCAAGCAAGGGCTATATCTACGGGCAAAGTAAGTAGGACCTAAACGTTTTATAACATGATGCCACCTCTCCGAACATGAGACATAAGACATGAGTCTCGGATTGCCACCTCTTAACCAAAGAAGTGATTAAACCCCAACTGAGTTGTAGCCCGCATACTCTATCAGTCTCGGGCCTCGTAAAACTCATACTCCTGTGAAATTGCATCAACATGATGATGATGTACTAGTGTCACCCATTCTTGTGTGCTCCCAAAAATCTTAATACTACTCTTCAAATTCACGTCTTTGTACTCCATATCCAGCTATACCCCCTCACTCATATGTTCATCGAGTTCTAAATCTAAAGCATCTAGTACAATATGTCCAAATGTATATTAAATCCTTCAAATCCATTATTCTATAAAAACAATGCTTATGCATAAAATAGCACATAATATGTATGAAGTTACACAAGTTTTGATGAAGACAATAAAAATCCAAATTATTAGAATTTAAATAACACATTAAAACAAAATATGCAGAAGATAAATCAGCATGTAAAGAAATATGGAATCAAACATAAAATCAAGATATTTTCAAAAAGGATGCTTAGAAAAGTGATGAAATCAAACCATAGAAATGGAAGCAACACTCCCGCTTGTGCTTAATGAGGATCGTCCTTTCCAGCGGTAGTGATGCTTCGGCGTCCTTTCTTCTCTCATTTTTTAATGGTTACGTTTTAGTGGTTGCGTAGGGGAGATAAAGTTTTTAAGCCAGGCAAGAACATCAATCTTATTCTTAAACGACATTAACAATGTCATGAGACACAAGTTTATTGGTTGATAGGCTACTTGTTTTTTTATTTATTTTTAACTACAAAACAAGAGTAGAATTCTGGTTTAGGTTGAGACATACATTGATCAAAATATTTTTTTGTTGTTTCTTGTATATATCAATAAGAACAAAGTTATTTGTACACCAATGGTTGTACAAGAAGTTGTACCCTGCATGTGTGTACAAATACTTTGATGTTTCTCCTGACTCAAATTGTTAGTGCAATTTTTTTTAATTGCACTAATATTTGGTAATTTGTACTCCTTACAAGTATTAATCATCAAAATATTGGTTTATATATGTGGAGTACAATTTGGTGCACGACCCCTTGGTGTACACTTAGACCATGTACTCTTGGATTGAAAAATTAACTTACAATTTTTTCAACTCTTTCAAGTTTTTTTCCAAATCCTTTCAACGTCTTTCAGTTCTTTTCAACGACTTAAAGATGATATTTGTATATGATGAATATACAATTACATTATATATCCAAATTTATAACATACCGTCTCAAACACGAACAGAGACGAATTCTATTTTATCTAAAATTAGAATTTCTTGCATATTTATTTGAATGATTATTTAATTGAGTGGTATTTTAATTTTTAACACTTTAGTTCTTTTAAATCCTTCCAGTTTTTTTTAAACTCCTCCCATTTCTTACCGTCCATTTTTTTCCGGAGTACAAAACACAACTCTAAAATTTAAACCCAAATGAGGTTTTAGCATATCAATAATTGTTTTAATAAGAAAATGGTAACTACTACGTAAATAATGAAAACTTTTTTATGATGTGAGATTGACATTCGAACTCAATCAAGATTCAGATTTACGATCATCCTCTTCCTCTCTTTCTCGGTTAATCTTTCGATCTCAAGACCATCAATTCAGCTGAGTCTAGATCATAGCTCATCCTCGAAGGTCCCATCTCCGTTTTAGTGATCTTCCTGCATTTTGTAGTTATCACCCTTCGTCTTCATTCCTCTATTCTTGTGCGAGGATTTGAGCAGTCTGGGCACTGGTATGTAAATCCCTTAGAATGTTACATAAATTCTTTTTTTCTTCATTTTTTTATACATTGAATTTAACATCTCAAGAAAAAAAAATCAAAACTTTTGCTGAATGTATCAGATTTCGACTCAGGCAAGGTCGTTCTCGTGGGAGCAGGGGTATGTAAATCCGTTTACAATATGATTATTGATTTTTTTTCGTTTATTTTTTTTACATTAAGTAAATCTGAATTACATAAGTCGTTTTACATTAGTAAATCTGAATCAGGATTCTAAGTTGTATCTTTAAATCTGAATTAGTTGGAGTTGTATACTATCGTCTCTGTTCAATTTTGCTTGTTGTTCATGTTTTTCTTATTTTCTTTCACTGTAAGTTAATTTGAGTATATATATTTCTTGTGCTTGCTCATATAGTTGGATAATTTATGACCAATCATAAGAGTATGATCTGACTTTAATCGATCCGAATGGATCTATATTTTAATTTGGATCCAATTTAATTAGGAACCAGAGTTTTTTTTATCAAATTCCAATTGACCCTGGCATCATCATCATCATCCATCATATACATAAATAACATAATTCATTCACGTAGTCTACGCTCCCCACATCCAGGTACTTCAATCGGCTTTTGCATCATATTCAGTTTCTTCCACGTCCAGGTCTATCTTCACTCCGTGCTGCTTCCAACTCATTCCCGGTCAATTATTCTCAAACAAAAACTAAGGGTCTTGTTTCAAGTTGTATGTGAATATCGTCACTAAAGAATGCTTGGATGATTGTTTCATTGATTGATTAATATTTAGATCTATGGTCAAAATTTCCAAATCTGAAATACCAGATCTTCTATTGTCCCTATATTTAGGAAGATGTCTATGAAACATTTCTCTCTGTAAATCTCATTTTTACGTTTATAACATGAACGGTTTATGATGCATATTTTATGTTTCCTAATTCTGCATTTTTCAGTTTTTTTATTAGATAAATTAGGATTATCTATTGGATCATATGCCTGCATTTTGAGTTTTAATATTGAATCAATAAATCTACCTTTTGTTAGTTTTTTAAAGAGTAAATTCCATAATTGATCCTTTATAACAGGGGGTTTCCCTATTTAGTCTTCTATTATCAAATATTACCCTGGTGGTCCTTCTTTTATGGGTATCTTTCCACAAATAGTCCTTTTTTTATCTTCTATCATGTTGGTTTAATTTGAGGGTTAAAAGTGTAATTTCACAATAATAATATATCTTTCTTGTCGTACACAATTTCAAAGGTCGTTCTTGATGCGCCATTTGTGAATTGTAGTCACTTTCTACGATAATTATAGTGTACAGTTGTGGTCTTTCGTCGGAATCCTAGCTCACAATCATAGTCATTATTTTTGTGTTATCTATCTAACCAGTATCGGAATATGTCAATGGACATAAGGTTGATGTCAAAGTATACTTTTAACCTTTAAATTAAAACCAACATGGTAGAAGATCAAAAAAGGACCATTTGTGGAAAGGTACCCATTAGAGGACTACGAGAGTAATATTTGATAATAGAAGACTAAATATGAAAACCCATTTATTATAAAGGACCAATTATGGAATTCCTCTTTTTTAAATTAATTTTTTTGTAATTTTTTTTACCAGTTTTTTGTAATAATTTATTGATCTTATTTTTATCAATGTTTTTAGTCCCATTGATTTGTTTGGCTAAAAAATTCTTCTTCAAATAGGGTTATAGTGAAATTAAATTGAGAGAGAAGAAAGTGACATTGAAAGAAAAGAACTTTATAGTGAAATAGATCAGTATATACCACAAATATTGAAAATATGTAATTCAATCTTTTATATTGATAGATTTTCAGTTTAAAGCATGGTGGCTGACAATGGTGTCATGGATGGGGGAACTTTGGACATTGGCATGGGTAATTTCTTTATATTCCATGGATATGGAATGCAAATGTACTTCAGATAAAATCTTTGTTATAGATTTGTATTGATGCACATTGCAGAATATAGAACGGTTTCAGGAGTTGCAGGTCCACTGGTTATCCTTGATAAAGTGAAGGTGATTTTATTACAGTACTTTTTGTTGTTTTCATGCTTAGCTTTTTTGTTCACGGGTTTCACAATGATTGTTTGTGTGTTTATGCAAATGAAAGTTTTACAATTAAAAATATATTGTTGCAGGGACCCAAATATGAGGAGATTGTTAATATTCGTTTAGGAGATGGATCTACCCGACGCGGGCAAGTTTTGGAAGTTGATGGAGAGAGAGCTGTTGTTCAGGTCAATTGTTTCCTAGGATATCTTTAATGGAATGTTCATCACCCTAATCCTTTTAAAAACATTATATAAAGTTTCTTTCAACACTTAACCCTATTTAATGTAATAAGACTAAATCCTTAAGAAACTTATTTATATGCTTTGTGTTTTTTTCTTCTAAAAATCAGGTTTTTGAAGGAACTTCAGGAATTGACAACAAATATACGACCGTGCAGTTTACTGGGGAGGTAGTGTTCTATCTCTGTTTCTCATGTTATTTGTTTTCTTTTGTTTTAACTGGAATGTCTTTTTTTTTAAGGTGAGTTCCTCTACAATGTTTTTTTTTTTAAAATTTGATTTTCCTATTAGAACCCCTTTCTTGAAGATTGTTTTTTATTGTCTTGGTTTAATCATCAGTTCTCTATTTTTATGCTGTTTTCTTTTTGTTTTCTAAACACCCAACTCGTTGTCACAGGTTTTACAAACTCCTGTCTCTTTGGATATGCTTGGTCGTGTTTTTAATGGTTCTGGGAAGCCAATTGACAATGGCCCTCCCATTCTTCCTGAGGCGTACAGGGATATTTCTGGTAATTATTTTCTTTCAAGAATATCTTGTGCAGGAGGATCTTGGCTAATGTTTCCTGACATATAGTTTTCGGCTTCAGGAAGTTCGATAAATCCTAGTGAGAGGACCTATCCTGAAGAAATGATTCAAACTGGAATTTCAACAATAGATGTCATGAACTCAATTGCAAGAGGACAAAAAATTCCTCTCTTTTCTGCTGCTGGTCTTCCTCATAATGAAATTGCTGCACAGATTTGTCGCCAGGCTGGTTTGGTAAAGCGATTGGAGAAATCTGACAATCTTCTTGAAGTAAGTTGCCTGTGAATAATTTATCCCTTAATACTTTTTCCATGTTCACTTTTCCTTAGCTATGTAAGGATAACATTCTTTTAGCAAGTTTCGGATGCAATTTGTGATGTATCACTTTGATATCTCGGTTTTGACTGCCTCAGTTTCTCACACATTTAAGATATAAGGCGCAAATGCGCAATTGAATCATACTGGACTTACTCCTATCTTCTTGCTTGCTCATGATGTCAGCAGGATGGTGAAGATGATGATTTCGCCATTGTCTTTGCAGCGATGGGAGTGAACATGGAGACAGCTCAGTTTTTCAAACGCGATTTTGAAGAAAATGGATCGATGGAGAGAGTGACCCTTTTCCTGAATTTGGTAATTTCTCAATTCCGTACCATGGACTTATCTGATATTTAGAGCCCATTTGGTACGACCTAGAAGGGCTGAAATTGCCAAATTCTATTGAGGTTTTTCAAGTTGCTGAAATGACTTAATTTGCTGAATGCAACATCAAACTACAACCGAATTATATACAAGGTATTTGAGTAGATTAAATAAAACAATTTCTCGAAATACAGGTATACGTATCAACTTTAGCCATTTTACCAAAAAAAGTGTATCAACTTCTCCGCAATTTCAGGCAGCACAGTAAAATAAGTTTGTATTTGTTGATGAAGCAGGGAAAAAGCTGAAACACAAACATGCTTTTAGCTATGCTGTTTTCAAGGTTAAACAATGGATTCTGTTCATTTGTGTGGTTATAATTTTGTTTATGTAGGCTAATGATCCAACCATTGAACGCATCATCACTCCTAAGATTGCTCTCACAACTGCTGAATACTTAGCATATGAATGTGGGAAGCATGTCCTTGTGATATTAACGGATATGAGTTCATATGCCGATGCTCTTCGTGAGGTACTACATACACTACTTCCCAATGAAATCAATAACAACAACAATCCCAATATGATCCCAACTCTTTTGGTTCTGTAGGTATCTGCTGCTCGAGAAGAAGTTCCGGGAAGGCGTGGATATCCAGGTTATATGTATACTGATTTAGCAAGAATCTATGAGCGAGCTGGACGTATCGAAGGAAGAAAAGGTTCCATCACACAAATTCCGATTCTGACTATGCCCAATGACGGTATCATTCTGCCTCTCAATGTCATTATTAAACACAATCTATGCTGTCAGCATTTGTTTGTGTGAATAAGCATAATTCTGTTTGTACAGATATTACCCATCCCACTCCTGATTTGACGGGTTACATCACCGAAGGACAAATATATATTGACAGACAGCTTCATAACCGGCAGGTACTGCTGATGTCTTGAACCATAGCACATTATATATGAGGGCAAGAGTTAAAATTTCATAATGGGAAAATGCCTCAAACTTATTTAACACTAGGAAAGTGATATTAAGCTCGTAGATCTCAAACAGATTTTAATGTGACAGATATACCCGCCGATCAATGTGCTTCCATCTTTGTCCCGTTTAATGAAGGTAAGTGCATAGCTTTGCTTTTGTTTTGTTATCAATCGCAAACTCTCATTTTATGAAGATAGTCGTAAAGACAATGGGTGTAACAACATTGGGCTTAATTTTTGCAGAGTGCCATTGGAGAGGGTATGACTAGAAGGGACCATTCAGATGTTTCAAACCAGGTGAAAGATCAATTTTAGCAGAGTAGGCAGTAGACAATACCAATATTGAAGTTCTAATTTTGTTCATCATGTGCAAATATGTTTCTGCCTTTCTCTTTGCAGCTGTATGCAAACTATGCCATTGGTAAGGATGTGCAAGCAATGAAAGCTGTGGTTGGAGAGGAAGCCCTGTCTTCTGAGGACCTGGTATGTTTACTTTTAACAAAAAAACCCATTTAACACTGGACAAAAATGCCTTGTTTCCTAACTATACAGGGGTTGACAAAACTTGTCATTTTTAGAATATGTTTTTGGCAATTTTGACTGTGGCCTTCAAAAATGGTGGAATTGTGAAATTCGTGATGATATGATAGTTATATTTTAAGTCCAAAATTGCATTTTTAAGGAAAAAATAAAAAAACCAGGCAATTAGCATGTTGCTTTTTTAAAAAATGCATTTTTGGCATTACTAAAGTTAATAAAATTGTTGCACTAGCAGCATGTTGTATGATCCTTAATTTGAATTGAAGCTTTTGGTTTACAGCAAAATGAGGGAAATTCTTGTCTTTTGAAGGTAACTGAATCTAAATCGCCAAAACAAATTAAAACGAGACCATTATTTCCAACTTCCGTTGGCTACGAAAGCCAAAATGTATGTTACCTTTGGAATGATACCAAAAATATATTTTACCCTTTATTACCATAACAACGACAACAATCATATTATTACTCTCTGCCTCAAAATGAACTTTTAGTTTTGACTTCATAGAGTTTTAAATAAGTGTTAAAAGTAAAAATATGGTTGTAACTTGTTTAAAAGAAAGTGAAACGTTGCGAGTCACATTTCCTTTCCTATTCCTTTCTTAATAGGAAAGTTAAAAAAAGTATAAACTTCATTTTGGGAATTCCATAAAAAGAGTATGAACTTCATTTTAGGGTGGGAGTATATGGTTACTAACTCGAGTTTGTCCATTAAGAGATTGGCTAAAAGAATCATTTTGGATAATGTTTTAGCTTCGGGTTGCTAATGGATTAAATTGTGATGACACATTATAACTTTCTCCTGCTTTTTTACTTTCTAATGCATCAAGGGTCTATCAGGAGCAACCTCTTTGTTTTTTAACATGGGTACGGTTGCATACTTCTTGACCCCTTGGACCCCAACTTTGTCGGGTTATACATGTGTTTTTTTGTGATTAGTAACTTGAGTGTTTTTGGGAGCTAAAATGAGGTGTTAAATCAAATGTAAAACAGCTATACCTAGAATTCCTCGATAAATTCGAGAGGAAGTTTGTGGCCCAAGGAGCATACGACACCCGCAACATCTTTCAGTCTCTGGATTTGGCATGGACGCTCCTCCGAATCTTCCCCCGCGAGCTTCTACATCGTATCCCGGGGAAGACCCTCGATCAATTTTACAGCAGGGATGCCAACTAGATAAGATCTGTGTGAGCTTGATGATGATCATGTCATGGAATGTTTGTTTTATTATGCCATTTTCTCTCTTAAAGGTTCTGCACATGTCCACCCCTTTGAATTCATAAAAGAATAAAAAAGCCCCAAAATTTAGTACCTCAGGCATTTTAGCAGACACCCTTAATTCTTTCAATGGTCTGTATTTTATGTTTTTTCTCTTCCCAAAGTATTGGACATGACATGTTTTTTCATGTGTATTAATTGTTTATGAAATTATGGAGGCTCTTGGGAGCAAGGGAAGTATTTGTATGGGCTGTTCATGTAACTATGTTGGCATCAGACTTAATAAATGAGCCCCTTGCAAAGTGCATAATGGTTTTGTTTCCTAGAAATGTTTTTAAGCAAAGTTATGATAGATGCTTCAAAAAATGAAGTCATGAATAGAAGCCCTATGTTATAGTCATGAAAAAAACAGTCATGAATTCATGATAAAAAATGTAGTCATTTCAACATTTGTTTTTGAAGGGTTTTTTAATGTAGTTTTTAAATACGAAGTGTGTAAATTTTATTTTTTAGTTCCATCTTAATTCTCATAGAAAATGAATTTAAAAATTAGTCAAACATCGTATATTCAAACATACACTTTAAAATAAGATCGAGGAATAATTTTGTATGTACACACACGAACCTGCGTGTGCACACACGTACAATAATATATAATTCTGACCATGTTCGATCCATAAGACCCAAGTTAGAAAGAGAGTAAAACATAAATTTTAAAAAGAGAAAGTAAAGCATAAGTTGTAAAATGTGACAGTGAATCAATAATGTGTTTAGGTCATGTTCTCTTCAATTTATTTTTATTATTTATTATTTTTTTATTGGAATCAAGTTAGACTAGATCAGATTTGATCAGAAATAGTTTTAAATATAACAATATTCAGATCAGATCAGATGAAAATTTATTCCAATCAGATCAGATCCATTCAGATTAGGTAAAGAAAACATTACCTTAAAAAGAATGAGTACAATTGGAACAAATTAGTCTTCTCCCATAGCTCGAGGAGGAATAAATAAATATAAGTATTGCGCGCAAGATCATGAATTATCAGATAATAAATGAGCCTGAGCTGGCTTGACATACTGGACCATCTCCACACGTGGACAACACGAAATAGAAAAGTGTGAAATAAAGAATATTAGTATATTCCAATTAATAATTACAATGAGTGATACCTTGGAATATATACGAGGGAGGGATTCTTTAACCCCCCATAATAATAAAGATATGAACTCTCCAAAATAAAGAGCTAAACTATAAAAAGGAAATATTTTATAATTAGATCCTAGCTATATAAGGTAATATTCATAAATATAAGATGTAGTATTAAGTATATTTATGATTAGTATATTTAGCATGCTTCCAAGGTATATTAGTATATGATCAGTATATTTATGATTAGTATTAGTATATTAGTATATGATCATGCGCCAAGGTTATCTCTGAAGATGGTGAAAAGCAGAGATGGTAATCCCTTCGTGAAGTTGTCTGCATACTAAGAGGATGATGGAACACGGAAAACACAAACATGGCCTGAGTCAACCTTGTCTGGAACAAAGTGAATAACCATATCTACATGTTTTGTGCGTTGGTGTACTACTAGATTAGAAGATAAGTGAACAACTTGTATCCAACTTGTATGGTAACGCGACAGATGGGTTGATGCAATTCCAGCAAAAGGTTTCGTATCCAACTTGTCTTTGCAACAGCATTCACAACCGCTCTAGCTATATTCAACCTGTACACTAGAGCGAGAAGTAGTGCCCAGATGTTTCGAGGACAAGGAGACAATATTATCACCCAAGAGCACAATAATCAATGGTTGACCTTCGCGTATCTGGACATCTTGCCCAACCAGTATTTGAATAAGTCTGTAGAAAATCAATGGATGTCTTTTTTAGCGTGATTTCGTGTGTGGTCGACGGTCAACCCAAGGGGATACCAAAGTACACACTTTAAGGTGGTAATAAGATGGAGAAATCGTGGCTCATGGAGATGAAGGCACAATTTTTGCACGACAGATATGATATTTGGTCACCCAAATTTGACATGTTGAAGTACCCCAACAATGGAGCGATACATGGACAAACAATGGGTCATCAGCTGCAACCAATTTCCCTCTTGTGTCTACGAGCGTAAAGATGGGTTTGCAGGCAGACATGCCATCCCACTCAAAAATTTCATGGGTAAAATTTGTTTGATAAAGTAACAACTCGTGTTTACTTACCAAAATAATTTTTTTGACCCCGTTAAGAGCTTTGTCCCTTGGACTTGGCTATTGGACCCTGCTAAGGAAATTGTAATAGCGTTAACCAAGCTTATACTCTATGTATTTTCGTTCTTGTTAACAAATTTATTAAAATTTTTGTCCGATCTTATAATTATTTTAATTACATAAAATAATTGATGATACAAAACTACCAACAATATAGAATAAACCACTTCGAATTGAATCAATAGACTAACATAAAAAATTCTAAACATTTTTAAATTATACTCCATATAAAAATTTAATTGAGTATTGAATATTAATGTAATAAAATAGTTTTTGAAATCTTTTTATAAGATATATATAAAATCGTATTAATATGAATTTTAATGTTTTAGTCGTAAACGAAGTAGTCTCAAACTAAACATCTTACTTAATTTCTGCACAACTACTGAAAAAACTTAGAAATTGAAAAATTTTGTTAAAATTTAATAAAAGAATGATAATTCAAAGAAAATTTAATAATATGAAACTTACATTTTTTAGCAGAAAATATGAGGTGCTTCAGAGTAATTTTTTTGGTGTTTGATTTGTCAAAATAACAAAACTTTCAATCCTAACAATCAAAAGATGTTTTATTGTGGACCTAAAGTCCATAAGGACCATAAATTGAAAAACTTTCTCTCTCTAGCCATGATGCGGAGGAGAGGAAGACCGAAGAAGAATACTTCAAACCATGGCGTGCAATCACTGGAGGGGAGCAGCTCCCTCTCGACGGACAAAACAACCCCCAAATCAAGCGAAGATCAATCTGGATCTATTAGTCCCAAAGATCAATCACTTGCTGCAGATCTGAAGAAGGACGAGGAGAAACCTAAAACCTACGCGATTGTAGTAGGTGATCCAAACGATGATCTAAAGTTAAAATTTATCTCTGCATCAGAGATGAAAAAAAATCGGATAGCAAAACTTTCGAAGGAAGGCATCATTGACACAACAAGCTATTGGGATGCGACCTTGGTATGCTGTATATTGGGAGCCAACCCCCCACTGAAGGTCATCAAGGGTTATATTAACAGGATATTGAAGGAATTCCAGATTGGGGAAATATCTCTTCTGAAAGAAGGTTAGTTTATTGTATCATTTAAGAAGATGAAAGATAGGGATTATATACTTCAAAAGAAGTACTACTATTTTGATAATAAGCCTGTATTGGTTCAAAAATGGTATCCTGAAGCGAAGATTAATTTGGAGACTCTTGATGATGTTCCCATTGGATCCAATTTCCAGATCTGGATATGAGATTCTCGAGCTTGACGGGTCTAAGTAAACTGAGTAGCATGATAGGGAAACCTATCAAAAGAGATAGGCCAACTGCTAATAAAACTAAATATGCCTATGCTAGAATTCATGTGGAAGTTAAAGTACAACAAGAATTCCCAGATACAATAACCTATTGGATGATGAGGATATTGTGCATACACAGAAAATTGACTATGAATAGACCCCTTGTATATGCTCCCACTGTAGGAAATTAATTGGGACATTTGCTGGAAAGTTGTAGGAAGAAAGATGGAAAAACTATGAACGTGAGGAGGAAACTGATTTGAAAACCAAAAATTACTACTGATCTTGTGTCTAATGATGAAAAGAAGGAGAATGATGAGGAAGGGTGGAAAAGGCGAAATGAATACAAGACCTTTGTGGATGAGGGATTCACTGAAGTTAGTGGCAAGAAAGCTGCTAAGAAGAAGTCTATTGAGAATGAAGAAGCAGATTCTTTGGTTGCTCTTATGAAAGTGTTGGGAAAAAGCCCATATGAGGGTTACTACCCCTTCCTCACATGATTGGGAGCTGGAATGTCAAAGGGCTTTATAGTCATATGAAATAACATGAAGTCTGGATGATGGTTAATAAATATGATATTGGCTGGATAAGGTTACTTGAAAAAAAAATAGGGGTGAATAAATTTGAAGAAATAAAGAATAAACTTCTCCTAGGTTGGGGATCTTTTATGAATAAAAAAGCCCATCTCTTGGGTATGATTTGGATACTTTGGAATAAAAGTAAGTTTGAGGTCAAGATTATGAATTGGAGTGATCAAATGGTCCGCTATAAAGGAAAAGGTATTGGTGATGAAAATTTTTTTTATCTTGCCTTTGCATATGGACATAACTCAGCCCAAGAGAGATGTGGATTGGGAGTAGCTAGAAAAAGTTGCCAAAAAATAGATGATAGCCGGCTTATAGTAGGGGACTTCAATGCAGTACTATCTAACTTGGACATAATGGGAGGAAATAATATCACTGAAGAAGAAATTAAGGATTTTAAAGATTGTATGTTTGAATGTGTATTGAAAAAAGTACCTAGTGATGGGAGTTATTATACTTGGTGTAATAAGCAAAATCATGGGAATAAGGTTTACTCCAAGTTGGATAGAGCCATGGCTAATATGAAATGGTTCCTCCAATTTGGAACTAAAGTTTAGGTTGTTGAAGAAGGCATTTCAGACCACTGTATGTTACTAATCAGAACTCAACTTCAAGGTAGGAGGAATGTTGGCTTCAAATACCGTGATATGTGGGAATTGGACTCAAAATTTCCGTCCATTCTTAGGAGTGTGTGGGGAAAAGAAACTGATGGCAGATATATGTTCCAGTTAATACAGAAACTTAAAGAGCTGAAGAGAGACCTTTGAAGAGACTCAATAAAAGCAAATTCCAGCAAATCCACACCAATGTGATATAATTAGGGGGGAACTTGCTGATATCCATAGGAGGCTGAAAGTTGAAATGTATAATCAAGATATGATAATAATAATAATAGAGAAGGACTACCTGAAAAAGTTTATTACCATTGATCAGGTCTCAGGTGATGAAATATCAGCAAGCTAAACAAAAGTTGATAATCAAAGGGGATCAAAGCTCCAAACTTTTTTTTGCCTGGATAAAGAAGAGAAACATGAATAACCAAATTATTAACATTCATAATAGTAAAGAGGAAAACATTGAAGGAAAATGGCAAGTGGCTAGTGTTTTGGTAGACTATTACAAAAACTTGTTTGGTTTGAGCTCTTGGACAAATCCTGTTCAGG